GGGGGAAAAGGGCTCCTGAGCCAGAAGGGACCTTAAGACTTAGCTCTTAGCCAGGAACAATCACCTCAAAGTAGAGTGGGGCAAAAGACGGCCCCCAGCATCGGTAAAACAAGGCACATCAGGCGTGAAGGAGCTGAGGGTCCCGGGGGCTGCACCCCTGCTGTCCAATAAGGCTAATCCCACAGCAGGAGCCCCCTCCCATGGATTTCCCGATGGAAACCTCCCTGCCCGGCAGTGTCAGCCCCAGTGCCACAGCGGTCAGCTGGGCGCAGGAGGGTCACTCCCGAGGACCAATTCCGTCTGCCCTGTTTCTCCGGCAGCTGAGCAAAAAGTACGGGCCTGTCTACACCCTCCAGCTGGGCCCCCGGCGCATCCTGGTGCTGTGCGGCTACGAGGCCGTGAAGGAGGCCCTGGTGGACCAGGGGAACGACTTCCGGGACCGTGGGCAGCAGGCCACCTTCGACTGGATCTTCCAGGGCCATGGTACGGCCCGGGCCCTTGGTCCCCCGGGAGGCACAGCAGCTGGGCAGCCATCGGCAGGGAAGCTCTCTTGGACGTCCCCTGCGCCAAGCAGGAAGGCTGACCAGGCGACCCGCTAGGTCCCCCCTCCCTCCGATTCCTGGACGGCTGGCCACGGCGCGACCTGCCGTTCAAGAGCCCTGGAGAGACCCCCTTCTCTGTCCTCCAGGAGGGGAGTTCTGCGCTGCCTTTCCTCTTGCTGCTCCGCTTCCTTTGACCAGAGGGGTGGGCAAGCCTGCGTCTGGTAGGGTGGGCCCCACCGCCCCTCTCCCCACTTGTCTTCTGCTCCGCAGGGGTCGCCTTCAGCAACGGGGAAAAGGCCAAGCAGCTGCGACGGTTCTCCATCACGACCCTGCGGAATTTCGGGCTGGGAAAGAGATCCATTGAGGAGCGGATCCTGGAGGAAGCCCACTTCCTGCTGGAAGCCCTGAGGAGCACAAAAGGCAGGAGGATCTCTGGACCCCAAGAGGCATTTGGGGGGGTTGGGGGAAGCAGGAAAATGGCATATGCGTGGC